GTATTCTTTAATAAAACAGAAATAACTTTTTCACCCCATTTTTTGTTACCATCAATCAAAATCTTCTTCACTTTCCCATCACATATCAACTTAGAGAAAGCTCATTTGGCCACCACTTTTGCAGTGGGCTTAACAAAATGCTTCCCACAATATAGCGCACTTCTATGCACATATGAACATAAACCATCTTGCAAGGATGGGAAAAAAATAAAAATAAATAAAAATAATAATAATAACAACAAAAAGGAGGAAAAAAGAAGGGCATGACAGATGGTGAAGACGAGTGCCAAGTGTAAAGTGTAAACGAATCAAACAGAGACATATAGCAATGTAACTAATTGTTTAAATTTTTTATTGATTTGAAAGCTATGGTCAAATTTCGCTTTCATTGTTGGCTAAATCAAGCATTAGACATGTTTTTTTATATTTAATTAAGAGTGGTTTAATATTCTAAACAATTTGTTGTGTTTTAACTAATTGAGCCCAACTTCATCTTGATCCTACTATGAACGTCGAGTAAAATCATGGAGTTAATCAAATTGAAAAGTGCATACTACTGTTATTAAATGGTTGTAAAATCATAATAATTAAGTTGGGCAAAAATATCACCCTCCAAGTTCTCCAACGTTGGATCATCACAGTCTAATCCAACGGTGAGAAACTCACAGTTAGTGTTGTGATATTGTAGCAGGCGCTGGCATCCACTGTTTGGGGGCATTTTCTTTTATCATGACTGGATTTTTGCTGTTGCCTCTTATGGAAGGCTCATAAAACCAGTACTATATATTTTGTGTTTCCCAACTTCTGGTTGTGCCCCAGTCAAAAGCCACATATCATTCATAGTCCCATTCATCAGTGGGAAAAATTTAAAAAGTCAACCACCAAAAAGCAACCAATCAGAAGCAATTTTAGAGCCCCCCGCGTAATTAGCAATATCTTGAAGAGACTAAATTAGAATCTACAAGTGGGCAAGCCTGTGCAATGACCTGAAAATTGAAGATAAATGGCCACAGAACTATATACCTAACAAGTCAATATGCCCAAAAAAATAAATAAAAATAAAAAATTAACCATCATGGTAAATCTAGCCCAAGTATGATAGATTCATGATGACGAAATATGAAAAATATGATTTCGACATACACGACTAATGGGATATGCATACAATAGCGTCGAACTAAGCAGTTAAACTAATTTGCCCCCCGAAAAATGGTGGTTTTAGCATTACTCCAAATAATAATATTCTTAGAAAGAATGTCTACAACTAGTTTAAACAGAGGATTCAACTCCCTTTCATACATATATTTCTGTTTTACAAATTGCACCTTGACCTACCTATGGATATTCTTGTAACACACAAAAACCTTCAAGCATTTTCTTTTTTCTTTTGGAAATTAGTCGAAACCTCACTGAGTACTTCACGCAATTATATTCCCATAAAGGAGAAGAAAAAAAGAGTTCTGAACCTATATAGATCCCCCTCTAACCCACCTGCCCGGTCCAGTTCTTGAACCATAGTCCCCGACATTGGCCACAAACAGTGGATCCCTCTCATCATCAAACGTATGGTCGTTACTAGACGAGTCATTCTGCTCTGCATGCTCGATTTTCTCTAGCTCTTTCGTCAAATCATCCATTGTCTTCTTTAAAGTGGCCTTGCTCATCTTTGCTGGGTCCCCAGTCGAGATACCTACCATGGTTATCTTGGGGATGAATGGAGATGATTGTGCCTCTCGTCCCCTGTGTTGTCGGGTCGAATTTGAATCTCTGCATTTGGAAAATATGTGATGTGGTACGGAGGCAAGTAAAAAAAGAAAAAAAAATATAAATAGACTAATTACATGAAAAGACAGTTATCATTGGGTAATTCTATAGTTGTATTTTGAAGACAGCTGATTTAATAGTTAGCCAAACCTCAAGTTTTATCTTTCGTAATTGCACAAAACAGGACAAAATAAAGAAGGTGATGAAAGAAGAAATGAAAAAAAAAAAAAATCCAACAAGAAGAGCGTAGTGAAAACCTTGTGTCTAAAAGGTTCTGCTGATTTTCTTGTTCTTTTGAGAAAGGGTGAGCAAACCAATCTCCGAAAGGGAACTGGAAATTTGGAGTCTTCCCTTGTTTATCGTGATTTTTGTCCTTCCCTTCCACTTCTAAAGTAGCAGGACTCTGAAGTTGGGCATCTTCCACAAATCCAGTGTTTGAAATTAGGCGAGACCGATTTTGGGCTCTCAATAAAGAAGCTGTGCTCCTGCAATAGGAGATGTTATGACAAATCCAAAGAACTAAATAAAAAGGAAAACGGAGAAAACAAGGGAGCAAAAATGTTATGACGGACACTCCCACTATATGTTCACAAGCTACTTGAAACATATTTCATATTTATATTATTATAAAATAAAAAACTATCCGAATTTAGATGGGCAATCATCTAAATCAGGGAGAAAGAAACAATTTGGTGCCTCAACTTCAGAATAAAGCATTATTACGAGACAACACACTAGGTAAATCAGTTCTAAGTAGTATTCAAGTAGGTAAGACACAAATGCAGCAAACAGCAGGAAGAAAAAAGTAAAAATGTCAACAATTCAGGATGTGTCAAATAGTGAAGGAAAAGGGGAAAGAGTAACGGAGAAAAAAAAAATGAAAGTTCAGGTTGTACTTTCTCTCAAACGAGTCAACCATGTACTGAAATTTGGGTTGAATTCCAGTGGCCTTCCGCATCCATCTGTTTCCGAGAAGAACCTTGTCAACAGCATACATAAGTTGTATCTCAGCAGCCTTTGAAATGATGCTCAGTGGTATAGTAGGATAACCCACTTCATCTAGTACTTCCTGGACCTATCAGAGAGAACAAGTAAACAGAATAACCCCTTATTAATGATAATGACTAAAAAACTTTAAAAAAAAAATAAGAATAAAGAACATTCGCAAAAAAAAAGGGGAAAGAAAGACAAAACATACACACAAAAAAAGAATGAAATAAAGAAAAAGAAGAAAGAAGCATGTAATGCTTTCAGCTATATTCAATATAATATTACAGAAGGCTCCTCCTATATTGTTTCGATTTTTTTCTTTTTGGGCCAGATTTGGTGTGATCTATTGATTTCTAGATAAAATTTTGCAGCAAGTGAGAGACAGATTGTGCACCTCTGGAGGGTCCCACATGCTCTCTCCCATCTCTTCAACAGCCTCGGCAGTGAGACTGTCGTCAATACTATCATCCCCATGACGTTGAAAGTGTCGAGTTTCAATTAATGCTTGGAAATGTTGATCCATGGAATCTTCTAGAATATTATCCAGCATGTTTTTGTCAAAAAAGTAAGGAGTATACCTGATAGAGGGAAAATGTCACGAGATCCAGAAAGTGAGAGGTAGAAATTCTGTTGAATGAATGTGAGGAATTGCACAAAGCAAATACATAAACACAAAGACGCAAAAAATGCACTATAGCACTTCAAATATTCTAGCAATTTTGTCATCCAGATGTTTCCTGTATATTCTTATGACGCAGGATTTCCATTGGCCACTTACTAAGTTTTGAATCCAATATTTCAGGATGTGCATGACACAATGTCATTGCTTCAACGTGTCCTTTTATTGTGGGATGGTGAAAAACTTAGTCAGAGTAATTTTACTATATGCTGACAATTTTCGGTTACTTAAACGTGAAATTCTGTGAGAACTTGACAGGTCCGTGGTAAATACTACTACGCACATTTGAAGAAGGAAATAAGTGGTGAGATATCGTAGATATATTTGAGTTGCTTGATGTACAAGGAATGAACTGTTTACCTATGTCCTACCAAGAAAACAACAGGAGAAGTTCTCTCACTCAATACTATATACAGTATATAACATAGAGAAAGGCTATAGGTACATAATATTGTACATAGTGGTGTACATAACGCTCACATTTAGTGCGACCCGCCAAAAATAAAAAAATCAAGTGGACCCCACTATGTGAGTGTTATGTACACCTCTATGTACATTTATTATGTACTTGTAGCATTTTTCATAAACATAACATACCACTTGATGCCATCATTTGTTGCTATTGCAATATCCAAGTTTTGAGCACTAAACACAGGAACACCGTCCACTTTCATTCTCTCATCGTTCTGCGGCAAGTTTTTCAAAAGCTTGTTGGCTTCCTTGACCTGTAAAGAAGTAAATTACGGAAGTTGGAGATTGAATGGCATAATACCTAACATCCATGTGCTATGGAGGTTTCAAAGATTTTGAGTATCAGCTTGTGCCTAACCTGTCTTTGATTTGGAACAAACTGAAACAGGTGAGGCTTCTCCTGCATCACATGGGACATACAACAAATTATTTGAGCTAGTTAATTTTACAAGAAACCACATCTATGTGATCTAAGAGCAAATTGTATAATCTCGTGATGATAATGATATTCATACTTTGTACACCCAAAAATTCAAGAAATGGAGTTTCAGATAAACGAGCATCCTGTGGAAAATGCGGCCACCATTTGAAACTATAATTTTTGCATCAAATTTAATAACTGGCCCTTTTACTATTCACAACTATATTCAATATAATGAATTAATAACATTCTTAGATGTGTAGGAAGAGCATCATTTGCTTCTATAACATGTGAAAGTAAGGTTTTAATAGCAATATAAAAAAAGCTACAATTCAGTATACCAAGTAATAAACACTGATACTGAGCAAGGAAGAACCTTGAAATGCTCATATGCAATATCAAGACGGCAAGCACCAACCACCCCACTTGGTATATTGAGCTGTTTTACATAAGAAACTGCGAACAATATGAGTTAGATACATCGTCAACTCGAGGCATTAAGTTTCACGCATTTCACCAAAGCAATTATCAAAAGTGAAGGCAATGTATGTTTTGTTAAAATTAAGCGCCAAATACCATATGACCGTGCAACTTGAGAATAGACTGGTAAGTGGTAACCCTTTAGCTAAAGACTAACTCAATTAACCAAATATGACCAAATGAATAACAAATAAATAGATGAAAGTGGGAAATGAGCTAACAAGGTGGGGGATGATAAACTACAGGAGTTAAGCAAGAAAATTGTTAGCTGAATATGATCTTCCTAGCAAAATAAAGTGAAGAGCATGCCATAAAAACCATACCAGCATCGCCCAAATCCATGAAGAAACGAAATACAGGACCATTTCTTTCACTTTTAGTGACTGCAGAAAAGATCTTCTTTAGCCACTCTGGTGTTCTGTCAGCAAATGAGAAAATAGTATAATAAAGTAGATGCCTGGCAGGCAGCAGCAAATGGCAATGCAAAAATACTGCTAATACATCATTACTAAAACAAGCACAAGTAGTAAAAAGCTTTCAGGCACGATCAATGCGCCTACCAGAAGCCACATGGGAAAACAAATACGACACTAAACTAAATATAAATTCAATGATCTAACAGTGAAATATGAGTGTGCCTTTTGGACTATGCACTGACATACTTTGCTTCTGTTTACATTATTTCTCGTTCAGACCACTCAAATAGCAAATTTCAGATCCTAAGACCACGACTAGCCCCCAAGACAATACTTCATCACACAAAAATCCTGAATAGATTCAATAAAATTCAATAATAACAATTAACAAGCTGACATGATCGGAAACCTTGGCATGCTTATTCTTTCCAATTCCAGCACTGTGAAGAACTTCAGTTATATTAATTTCAGCTGAAAACTAAACCTAAAACAATTAGTAGCATCAACTTAAATGGCGGATATATTCTACTAAAGCAGAATAACAAAAACACAATGAGTAAATGAATCGGATGATTCTACAAACTTCATCTAAGCTTCATAAATTAAAACAGTAATGATTTGAAATTGTGAAATTCTGACTTCTGGTAAGGACTGAAACTTAGCCCCAATACCTTTTGGATAGAAAAGGGATGTCAAAATGAGTGGACACGGCCATCAAACCAGTGCCGGTAAGGTCACACATGCTGAAAACCTGGCCGACAAAAGCTGGTCCACCGCCTTTCCCGGTCGAGATTTGCATCGATGACGATAACCTCGACCTGGTGTCCGGAGATGGCACGTCCTTGACCGTCGAGGGAGACAGCGGGGATTTTGACCGCATCTGGGAAGCTAATTCGGTGGAAGTCGAAGCGGACGGTGAAACGAGTGAGAGAAACGGGTCCGGGAGGAGGAGAGGGAGGTGGATTTTCGATGAGGGTCGCGGCGGAGACGGTGGTTTTGGGGATACGAGAGAGTTTATGTTGGTGGAGGCGGCATGGAGGAGTCGGGAAAGGTTAGGGCCGGCGGGACGGCGCCGATGGTGGCGGGTGTCCGTGGTGGAAGTCATGGGATGAGGTGTAGTAGCGGAGAGAAGGAAAATCCGAGAAAAATCTCGTCCGCGAGAGAGAAAATCGTTTCGAAGTCTTCGAGGCAATTTCACCCGAGCCCGCTCCGGCCCGACTTGCAACTTTTGGGGCGGGCGAATCCACCTGTTTTTCAAACGGGTCAAGTCGGGTCCACCAATAAGGTCATAGACTGAAGTTGACTCTTTTTTTTTTCAAAGTTAAACCTGAATATAATAGAAGAACTCAAACAATATATATAAGGCTTAGTCAAATGACTACCAACAATCATACTCTAATCAACTAAGGCACAATCATCATGGGAAGTTGACTCATAGTACAATATGCTGGCCCACCTATTTTAAGGCCTCGCTTATTTAATAAATAATTTGTCTAAAATAAGTTATCCCTCCTATAAATTAATTGAGAACGTGTTGAGCCTATGTGGCAGGCTCGCATGCTTCGGGATCCTATGTGGCAAAATTACATGCTTCGTTATTAGGCTTGATAGATTTAATTTAGGTTTGGATTATCTATAAATATGTTGATTATTTATGGTAGGGGTGGGCGCGGTCCGGGACGGTCCTAGATTTGACTTGTCCGGATACCCATCTCATTTTTATGAATCCGTCCATGAACGGCCCGAGATGAGGCACCGTCCTTACCCATGTAATACATGGGTGTTGTATTAGTTTTGATTAATTAGAGTTAATTTTGAAAAATATGGTATGGTTAATTGTTAGTGGAGTTTTAAGAATATATTAAAATAATATTTAAAAAATAAAATTGTTAAAATCGAATAATGTAAAAGTATGAGATGATTAATTAAAAATGATTGGAAATAATAGGTAGTTAAAATTATGTGAGTAGATGAATAGTGAATTAAAGTTGATGTGATGTGTAAGAATGATTTGTTTATATTATTTAATTATATTAATAATATTAAATATAGTGGGATTAGGTTAAAGTTGAGTAGAATTTTGAGTATTAATTGAATGAGAGTTAAATAATTTATAAACAAGCATGCCCTGAAAATCGAGCTCCTCCACTGCTCGATGATGTTTGGATGAGCATATTGAGATTGAAAGGGAGTTTAGTAGTGGTAAGGATGGGATTGCAAAACTGATAATTGCATATTCGAATTGAACTGGATCGAAGCATGCCACTTTGGTTCGATTCCTAGTTACAACATAGCTATTTTGACGGTTCGGTTAATTAGTTAGAATTAGTTCCGTATAATCGTATGCATGTGAATCAGTCAAAGAACCAATCATACACATATAAACACGTGTTTATTTTTATATATTATGTAAACCATAACAAAAACTCGAAATTAAGGGCGGATATGAATCCAAATGGTTTTGTTTGGTTAAAATAGTTGAAATGAATTATTTTGAATAAAGTAGATTGAGTTGATGATTTTGAGCTTAAAGTTAAATAATATTTAAAAATATAATTATTAAAATTTATGTGGTATAAAAGTAGAAGATGGATTGGTGAAAGTGTTGTATAATTAAAATTATGTAGAGTGAATAATGAATCAAAGTTGATGTGATGTGTAATAATGATTGATTGTTATTGTTTAATTAAATTATTAGAAGTATGAGAGTTGCGTATAGTTGGAGTTTTAGTTAGATGATTAGATATGCAATAAATAAAAAGATCGCAACCGATTGAAAATCGATTATTTCTCATATCCAATTATGCCTTAAAGATTTCATAAAAATGGTGAATTGTGAAATGTGTACTCAGCATCTCAACATCCATTCTCCAGTTCCACAAAACTGAAAAACCTAAATCACTTACTCTAATTCTGTACATATGTAGCAAAACTCTTTTTCAAATTTTCAATATCATCACTCTACATCCATCCCATCACCATCAGCCATCTCACACTCGTTGACATACATGCACAATCCATAATCCTATAATTGATATGTTTGTGTAATTTGTGAGATTGTTCTCAAGAGTAGTCGTGACACAAAACGAATACTTTTTTAATTTTTGTGTTAGCCAACTAGACGGAATGACCAGAAATAATTTTTTAATTCTTAGGTGGTTTTTTAAAAATGAGTCAAACGGTTATTTTTTTATGAGTTAGCCAACAAGACGGAATAACCAGACCGAAAATCAATGGTTTGGTTCATTTCTTAGAAAATGAAGCAATAGCATAATCCAAAAATTGCACCAAAAGCATGTTTTGATTCGTTAGGATTTACAAAAACTAAACAGGTCACACACATTGGTATAACACTAATACCAATTTGGTAGATCGGTCAAAGCGGTTGGCTCGGTAAACCGGTTCGAGATAGCCTTAACTCGGTGCCTCTCCCAACTTCCCTCTTTCCGTGAGGGACTCTGCCTTCATCGTGACTAGTTTAATAAAAACAATACAATCAACTCACTTCATATTAATTTAATATAATCTCATCATACAAAACAAAATGAGGCACAATAGTAAGAAACTTGATTGAATTGACTTTAAATCCAAATAAGTAAGGTGACTAGTAAAGTTCCAAATATTAATTTAATACCCCAAAATAATGACCAAAGATTAATGAATAATAAGCACACTAAAAGTATTGTTGCACATGATACATATTTTTTTTCTTCTGAAACAATAGAGGAATTATATAAAATGTGTAAAAGTACAGTCATCAGCTGAATACAAACAGCCAACAGCTGAATACAGACAACCAACAGCTAATTAAACTGGGAGGACAAGTCAAAAGATCGCCTAGAACCGACCCCAGACCCCAACAGGGTAATGCCCGAGTGTGGGATCCCAACAAGATAATAAGGACATAATACATATATGAAATAACAAAAAGTTTCAAAGTTTTATTAATCTGTATTAAGTCATTTATAGACGTATTGTTGGTGGATCTTTTCATATTTATTTATGAAAAACGTGAAAAAATTGATATCTTTGAATTCATTAGCTCACGGTAATAGTATTAGAAAAAAAAAAAGTTTTGTGTATTTACTTTTTTATCATTTCACATTTGAAAATATGTCTTGTTTCAAAGGTATTTTCAATATATAATAATCACCAAACAAACACCTTTGAAAAAATGATTACTACAAAGATTCCTAAATAGACCTTTTAGAATGTGATTGGCTATCAACTCAAATAAAAACAAAAAAAATCAATCAAAACTCAAATTTAACTAAATTTTAATTCAATTCAACTATTCTTAAGATTATCATTATAGTTGAATAATATCAATAAATCATTCTTACACCTCAACATCAACTCCAATTCACTATTCACTCACTCACATAACTTTAACTAACCATCATTTCACACAATTTATCTCCAACTTTTATATTCAAACGGCATAAACATACTCATAAAAAAAGGCCAAAAGGCAATGTACAACAGGCGAGCCCGAAGCCGTGAAATGAGAGGTTACACACACAACTAATGTAACCTAGACAGAATACCAACTAGCAAAGCTAGAACGACAAGCACACTACAACACCAACACCAAGCTAAAATCACAACAAAAAGTACAAAAATAAAAAATCCCCAACGGGGTAATAGCCGAGTGTAAACTCCCAACAGGAGAATAAATGCTACACTCGGCCAAACTGGGGCCAACAGTCCAAACCAAAAACACATAAACCACACTAACACAAACACAACGATCACACAACAACGAAAAACAATAACATAAACAACAATAAACTAAAACAGAACCCTTCCCCAGCGATCCGAACTATGCTCAACCAGCAGTGAACAACCGACACAAAGAAAGCCTCGAGCCCGAGAACTGCTACCGAAACTACACAAAAGCCTATACAGCAGGTGAACTCAACCCCCGAGACTGTCTCAAATCGACCCATCTCTAACCGAGAGAGCCCGAAACAGCCACCACGCCAGCCCCACCGGACTCGTCTAATACCACTAGCCAAGCTCGATAGGACCCAATCCCCCGTCACCTAACACCACTAGCTGACTGAGGAAAAAGCGTGATTGGCCCGGGCCCTCAACCCCAACGGCCGCACCAGGCCAACACAGCCGTCGGGATCCTGCCCCACTCATCGGCTCCCGCACCCCCTGACATCACCACGAATTGCCGAGGACCAGTGACAAAGTCACATCCAAACAGGCAAACCCCCGCCGGAGAGCCACAACCCAACAGCCGCAAAGGAGGGCCAATAGAAGTGCGAAACATCGTGAACTAGAACCCCGCCGGCAATCAAAGAAAAAACCTCCAATCATCAGTCGAACGACGGTCGAGCGCGTCATCACCTCCCACCAAGACCCCATCAGCGACCACAGACCGGGCCACCGCATCCCAAGCAATCCACGACCACATTGAAAGCGCGTTGCACCGGGAGTGGGCCAGGTGGTCAAGGACGACCCATGGCTGAGCTATTCCGTCGCGGAGGAAGGCGAAGAGATCGATTTTTGGGAGGAAGGGTTTCGAGAGGATTGGGGATCGCGGATGTAGAGAGAGTGTTGTGTCAAACAATCTCCCAACTTTTATATCAAATAAACTTTAATTATTTTATTTTAAATAATAATTTCATATAAATTCAAAATTTTATTAACGACTAACTATGTCATTTGTTACAAAATTAATTATGATTTATAAGAAAATTAATCAAAACTAAATCAAATTCATATCCAATCACACCCTTAAACTTGGAAAGTAATTCCCAACATGGTGTTATTCATTACAAATCCCCTTATCTCCTTATTCCCTATTCAAAACGTGTTGAGCCTAAGTGGTAAGTTCGCACATTTTGGAATCATACGTGTCAAATTATTATGCTTCGTATTTAGGTTTAGATAAAAAAAAATTGGAAACATAATCAGCTTGGAATCAACCATAAATAATTATTTCATCTTACATTATTGCATCCTATAAATATCTCTTTCATTATCATAAATTTATTGACTTCCACAAATTTGTGTATTAACTTTATCATATTAATATGGGAGTATATCCTAAGACAATTTCGTAAATTTACTATTCTATAGTTTTAATTGAGTTTTTAACTAATTCATACATGTATTATTTTTTCATATTTTATATAATTCAAAATACATTTATCATTCTGTAATAGCATAAATTTAATTCATAAAATAGAGTATATATCTA